TTCTTCAGTGGACCCATTTCATGGCTGCATAAAGGCCAATGTATAAAATGCATTATTTTCAATTTAGAATAAAAGTCTTACTGTTTTTCCCAATTTTTAGTGATATATTTAGTATGGTACAGGAACTTGAAGAAATCTATACTTTCTATATACACATATGTATGTGTGTGTGTGTGTGTGTGCATATATATATATATATATATATATATATATATATACACACATATATATATTCATTTTTTTCAGTACAATCCTTACTATAGTAAGATGTTAATATACAAAGACCTTATTAGTATCTGCTGTCCAGTAGGCAATGAAAATCTGTAGTCTTAATTTTTCTAAAGTTTTATAGATACAGAAATGATTTCCTTGACCTGACTTCCACCATACCTAACAAGTTCATTCAACATTTATTAAAGGATAAAAATGAACAGAATCATCTTTTCTTTCCTGTTTTTCACCCCCAACTTCTTACTCTTATTACTTTTCAGTGTCCCCTTCTTATTACTTTTCAGTGTCCCCTTCACCTCGCCCTCCCCTTACCCCCTTTTCCAAAACTTGGAACTCACTGCTATGTGACAAAACCACTGGGCTGGATGGATATAGAGGATGGATACCCGACTGTAATAGAGGTGGCCAAAAAAATACTACATTCACAGGCAACTTAGAGTAGAGGAATTCAGAGAATTACCTTTATAAAATAATAGAAAGTGGTTTATAGCCACCATGTCGCAAAAGGAGAAAGGTCTCTGGAATTAAATACTAAGGAACCTAATTTTGTTATATTATTGCTAGATGCCACGAACTTAGCAGTGATCATTTAAAAATAGTCTACAGTGTGAGGTTTAAGGAACAATGACTCCTAATTAGTGTTATAATAAGTGTGTTCACCATTCTGGAATGTCATTTATGGTAAATTAAGGAACTACTGTCCCTCCCCATCTTCCATTAGTATTTTAATGCTAGGAGGTGGGAAAAGCTGATCCATATTCAAGAGGAAAGAAAGAAAAACAATAACAAATTGGCATCTCTTCTGTAGATTGCCCCACAGGCCAAGCATTTTTATGTTCTTAATCATTATTAAATGACTTAACATGACACCCAGAGCCTGGCGAATGATTGCATCCTGACATGAGAACGAATTACAAATGAAATGAAAGATCAAGCCGTATTAGAGGATTGCCTCTGGGAAATGAAAATCTTTAATTCTCTTTTATTATTGACATTTATTTGGCTGCCATGAATAACAACATAGCAAAGAGATTCAGCTATGCTTGTGCACTGAATAGCTTATCCCAGGGCTCAAAACTGCATTAACATTTATCATGTTTGCTTTTGTAGCTGACACCACTGAACAGATTCTCTATCCATCTTGTATTTATCATGCATTGCAGATATAGTACACCCTCTAATTTAAGTTCATTTTCATATAGTAGAAGCAGCAAAGATTACCAGTGTCTGTCCTCAAATAAATTCCTGCTGGTAAGCATTCCTAAGAGGGTTTAATATATTTAATAAGACCAAATTGAGTTGACAAATTCAGTCACAGGAAGAGGATGCTAATTTTAAAGGTTTCAATTTTTGGAAATTTGTGCTAATTCACAAGACACTTGTACAATATGTATCTCTGGAATAAAGCCTTAAAATAAATGTCTCTATAAAGAGCAACCAAATAGCATTTTATGAATCTGAAGGCAGTATGACAATTCTTATGAGGTAAGAAAGTCGGTATGCTTTTCACTTTTCCAAACGGTGTTCACTGCTAAGACAGGAATAGGCCACTACTATAAAAAGACAGCAATTCAGTTGTTATTAATGCAGGGGTATCTTTTCATGACTTATTTATTTTCTTTCTTGTACAAATTAACAACATGGCTTTTCCTGTCACAACAATAAAAGATTATACAGTACGTGGTGTCTTTGCTCACATGATCCTCTTTGACTAGATTGCCCTCCTTTCTTAAATATTTCCTAAAATTCAAGGCTTAGCAAGGATATCAATGTATCTGGGAAAAATAAATCACTTAATACTATATATCTGAATTTTGTTTGAAAAATTTTCTGTCCTTCTGTTTTTTATACTTTTAATTATGAAAAATTTTAAGTGTATATACAAGTGGATGTAATTGCACAATGACCATCCCCATATATTACAATTATTGACTCATGGCGAATCTCACTTCATCTATAACTCCATTTCATTATTTACTATGTATTGCATTATTTTGAAATAAATATCTGAATCTTGCTTTTGACAATTCTAAAATAAGAAAGTTGAAATGAATTAATTCTGGGGTCTCTATTCCCCAAAATTTGACAATAATTTATTCTTTTACCTTTTCAGGCATATTTATTTAGTTCAACAAAAGTTTACTTCATAGCCACTATAAAATCTTTATTGAGGCTTTATTGATTTCCTTCTCTGAGTCAATAAAAGCCCATATAATTTTTACCAATAATTAACAAGTGTAATTACAGTTTCTTGTATTCATATATCAATGTATATTAATTTTATTTCTGAGTTAGATCTCATATCTTAAGTTTTAGTGTTCAGCAGAGTACTGAATAAACACTAAGGTAAAAATTGCTTCTGTTTATAAGTATTAATTAACTGATTTATTTTAATCTTAATGGTTCAGACAAAATGGAAAAGGTCTGTATTTTGGCTTCAGTAGTAGGTAGTATCTTATTGACAATATTAATCATTTTTTTTAATTGTTTAAGCTACCACAACTCTTTTTTTAAAAAAAAATATTTTTATTGATTTCAGAGAGGAAGGGAGAGGGAGAGAGAGATAGAAACATCAATGATGAGATAGAACCACTGATTGGCTGCCTTCTGCACGTTCCCTACTGGGGATCAAGCCCACAACCCGGGCATGTGACCTTAACCAGAATTGAACCCGGGACCCTTCAGTCCACAGGCTGATGCTCTACCCACTGATCCATACTAGCCAGGACAATATTAATCATTTTATTTGATAAAATGTGTTAACTAGATAAAATTCCTATTTTATTTCTATGAAAATAGATGGCTGTGTAAAAACAGAAGTGAAGTTTTCTTCTTTAAAGCTGATGAAGTAACTTATATTTGGGTTATATTTGTTCATAGTTGGATACATTTATGTTATTGTAGCACAGGTATTTGGTAATTAAAATGTATGTTTTTCAGGAAAGACATTTCTAGATTGACAATATCTCCAAAATATCACAGTAAAAAAATCAAGGTAGATTTACTCAACTGATTTTTCTTAAATTATCTTCTTGAAACTATTTTCTAATGCGATAGAAGGTACATATATATTTATTAAAATTATAAAAAAAACTATACAAGGTACATTTTCACAGAAATAGAACAAAAAATCCTAAATTTCATATGGAACCACAAAAGACCAAGAACAGCCAAAGCAACCTTGAGAAAGAAGAACAAGGCTGGAGGCATCACATTTCTTGATTTCAAACTATATTACAAAGATACAGTAATCAAAACAGTATGATACTAGTATAAAAACAGAGACACATAGGTCAATGGAACAGAATAGAAAGCCCAGAAATAAACCCGGATATATGTGGTCAATTAATTTATGACAAAGGAACCATGAACATACAACGGGGAGACAATAGTCTCTTCAATAAATGGTGTTTGAAAAATTGGACAGCCACATGCAAAAGAATGAAAATGCAGCATTCCCTTACAACTTACACAAAAATCACCTCAAAAGATTAAAGACTTAAAAGTAAGACCTGAAACCTTAAAACTCTTAGAAGAAAAGGGGATAAGTTCCTTGACACTGGTTTGGTGACAATTTTTTTGGATTTGACACCAAAAGCAAAGGCCACAAAAGCAAAATAAGCAAGTGGGATTACATCAAACTAAAATCACAATCAAGCAAACAAGCAAACAAAGAACACTTCTACACAACAAAAGAAACCATGAACAAAATGAAAAGGCAACCTATGAAATGGGAGAAAATATTTGCAAATCACTTATCTGGTAAGAAGCTAATATCCAATATATATACCTTATACACCTCAACAAAAAACAAACACAAAACCAAACAAAAAAAATCAAACAAACACAATCTGAAAGAGCTGAATATTTTCCCATAAAAGACATTCATACACATGGCCAACAGGTACATGGAAAGGTGATCAACATCATTAATCATCAGGGAAATTTAAATCAAAACCAAAATGAGATCACCTCACACCTGCTAGAGTGGTTGTTATCAAAAAGACAAGAAATACGTGTTGGCAAGGACGGAAATGGAGAAAAAGGAACCTTTGTGCACTGTTGCTGGAAATATAAATTGGTGTAGCAACTATGAAAAACAGTGTGGAGTTTCCTCAAAAAATTAAAAATAGAACTACCATATGATCCAGCAATTACACTTCTGGGCATTTATTTGAAGAAAATGAAAACACTAATTTGGAATGATATCTGTACCCTCGTGTTCATTGCAGCATTTTTTACAATAGCCAAGACATGGAAACAACCTAAGTGGTCCGTTTGATGGATGTAGGGATAAAGAAAATGTATATAGACTTCTACATTTTCTTTATACATTTATACATTAAAATTACATTCAGCCATAAAAGAGAAGGAAATCCTTCCATTTGCAACAATATGGATGAACCTTGAAGGCATTATATGCTAAGTGAAATCAGTCAGACAGAGAAAGACAAATAAGGTATGATCTCACTTGCATGTGGAACCTAAAAACAACCGAACTCATAGATACAGAGAACATATTGATGATTGCCAGAAGTGTGTGTGTGTGTAAGCAAAATGAGTTAAGGTGGTAAAAAAAAAGTACGGTGTTTTAAATTAAATATAATAGGAAGAATGTAAATTTTGTTATACATGATTAAGCTCCATAATACTGGTTTTCTCACACAGTTTGCATGTTTTGAATTAAATATGTTAGAAAGGATATAGACTTTTGTTATAAATGATTACCCTCCATAATAATGGTTTTCTCACACAGTTTGCACATGTACCTGTAGCCATTATAGTGTCATCACTCCCTTGGGTGAAAATCACGACTCGCTGCCTCTTCGAGTTCACCTTTGGCAGAGCTTGGGTCTTTTTGGCTATCTCTTTAATGTCTTCAGTCTGTTAATTGAAAGGAAGAGGAAAAATTTCTCATAACCAGTACAATCAGACAAAGCTTTCTTAGAAGATTAAGGATTTAGACTCTCAAGTTTAAAAAATGAGATACTTAAACATCTATTATGAGTTATCATTTAAAAATTTTAACCACATACAAAAGTAAACATCCTCCTATATAATAAAAGAGAAACATGTAAATTGACCGTCCCTCTACTATGCTCACCAGCCAATCAGGAATGAGTATGCAAATTAACCTCATCGCCTCCCTGGAGACTGACAGCAGGTAGGAGGCAGCTCCCAGCATGGCCTGCTTGGCCGTTGCTGCAGCGACCCGGGAGCAGGCAAGTATGGCCCACAGGCAGCACCCAGCATGGCCTGCTTGGCAGTCGCTGAGGTGTGGAGCAGGCAGGCCCTGCAGAGAGCAGAGAACCACGGGGAGCAGGCCTAAGCCATCAGTAGGACATTCCCTGAGAGCTCCCAGATTGGAGAGGGTGCAGGTCAGGCTGAGGGACACCCCCCGTGCATGATTTTCGTGCACCAGGCCTCTAGTAATAGTATAATAACCTCCAAGGAGCCCACCATCAAATTGTAAACATTTAACACTTGGAGTGCGGGAAACGAGTTAAGTCGGCTCGCGTGAATTGCGCGTACTCCACGGGAGCCGTCTTTAACTCGGTTCATATAGATTTGCGGTGGAGTGCGGGAAACGTGTAAACTCGGGCCGATTGTAACTGCGTATTACCAAATATTTGTTTGTAATCCACCCTTTTGGTGGATGGAACAAAACCAAAAGACAGAGCCATCTTATATTTTGGCGGGAAATTCACCCGCACTCCAAGTGTTAAAATTTATTCATTTATACTTTCATCTACCTGCCTTTCATATTATTCTGAAGCAAATTCCAGAGACTATATAATGTCATCTGTAACTGTTTTAGTATGTATCTCTGAAAGATAACAACTTAACCATAATCACATAACTATTATCATATTTAAAAAATAAACACCAATCCCTTAGTATCAGCAAATATCCAGTCAATTTTCAAATTTCTAATAAAAATTTGTAGAGAGAATATTAAACTATTTTAGGGGTCTACAGAGCATGATTATGCTGACTATGGAAATGATACAGTTACTATAATTCCAAATTTTTCAAAGAATTAAAATGAGAAAGAGGTGCTAACCGTTTCCTACAGACTTAAATTTTTTTAAAAGATAAAGTTAAAAAAATTACAAATTAATTCTAGAAACCCTGATGCTATTTTTCGTATCACACAAGACATGCATAACATTTTTACCTTTTTGTGTGTGTGTTAATCTTCACCTGAGGATATTTTTCCAATTGATTTTTTTAGATGGAGTGGAAGGGAGGGATTGGGGCGGAGGGCAGAGAGAGAGAGAGATATGTTGCTTCCTGCACACACTATGACTGGGGTGGGATTAAACCTGCAACCCAGGTATGTGTTCTTGACTGGGAATCAAACCCATGAGCCTTGGTAGGCTGACGCTCTACCACTGAGCAACACTGGCCAGGGGAAGTTTTATAACTTAAATGTTCTTGACCTGAAATCTAACTCTTAAGCTATAGGTAGAATTTTTAGAATCATGCTTTCAACAATTTCAGATAATTTCAAAATCCATGTCTGAATTCAGTGAGCCTCTAAAACAGCCCATGGTTTGCATTTGTTGGTTTATACTCCATCACTGTGCAAAATTTCAAACAGTATGGAGAGAGAAACACAATCAGAGGGAAACGATATCTGCTTGGCATAAAGGAAGTTAATTAGGATATACAGGATGGAAACATTTAGGTAAGCAAGGCAGACAAGTCATAATAGTTACAAACAACATTAGAAACCATAGAATTTTTAAAGGTATGACAGTCTTTAGTAAAATAGCTGTATGCTGTTTGTTCACTAAGTACTTAAGAAATTCCAGATGATACATGAAGTTAGGCTTCTACTATACCTAACATGATAATACCAGAGGACGGCTGTTTCTGAAAAGAAGAGCCACTTGAGGTATAACAATGCTGCTGACCTTTCAAACATGCTGACTATTTCACTTCTGGTTGCTTATTTTAGAACAGAACTAAGCTTGAACTCAGATGAGAAAAGAAATTCCCTCAGTTTTGGGGAAAGACTATTATAAAAAGACTATTATAAATGACTAGTAACAGCTGAAAGGACCAAAAATGCCATATAACAATGTCTTCACTCTCTCAAATAAATGTATACATTTAATTAAAATGACTCACATATATTCTCCCAATTGTCTTGCCACACATATATTTTACTACTATAGGGTTTTTTGCTTATGATTGAATACAGTTCATATTTAATAAAGATAAGAGGCAAACTCCAGGAATAGATTCACTTTATCATCTTGGGAGCAGCATCTTATGCATGTTCTGGATGTTTTTTATATAGAGGTTTTTCTTCAAGGTGGTATAAGGAATAAATTAAGAATGATATTCTATGATTGTCTTCTACCCAACTATGTGGGAAAAAAATTTTTTTTATGGAGCTTTGTTAACGTAAAGAAACCTTTTATTTATTATTTTTAAAATTGAATTTATTGGTTAATAAAATTATATAGGGTTCAGATATATACTTCTACAATACGTCATCTGTGTACTGTATGGCGTGCTTACCACCCCAAGTCGAGTCTCCTTCTATCATCATTTATCCCCCTTTACCCTCCCCCACCTCCTCCCCGCTTCCCTCTGGCACTCCCCATACTGTTGTTTGTGTCCATGAGTTTTAAAGAAACCTTTCTTATGTCTCAAATTAAATCCTATAAAACTGGCAATTCGAGATTGAAGTAAACTTTCCAAATAAAGAACATAAATCTTTACAGATGGTTACACTTTATTTCTATCCACATCCACAGTTCATACAAAACTCCTTTGTCGCTCTGGGATAACTGGCAGTGAGCACCAAAACTGAACTTCTCTCTAGGCCTTGAGGAGCCACTGCTTTGCCCTCAGGAGTTGCTCCCCATCTACTATAAAAACTTTTCTTAAAACCTTAATTTTGTCTTTCCAAAGCTACATATTTCTAATTTTGCTGTCACAGCCAGAAGATTATTTTCCCTTATATGTGGGCTAACATATCTTAACAGAATGATGAAATTACAAGGGATTTAGAGTATGACACACCTGGACTTGTGCATCTTGAGCAGGTAAATAAACCCCTCTGACGCTCCATTTCCTCATGTACATACTAAGAAAATATTTATGGTAGGAGATGTTGGGAGAGAAGTATGCTATAATTGGTGGGTAAAAATTTGGAGACAATCAGGATATTTGCATATTCTCATAATTTCTCCCCTTAAGATATTTATTCATTACAAAAGGAAAAATAGTTATGTTACAGTGAAAGAAAATGACAGACATAAGTTTACCCTGGTGATCAAATTTAGCAATGCTAAAGTTAGGGGGCAAAATAGGATATTTGCATAGTCCCAAAATATTGCCCTCAAGATATTTATGAACTACAATGGGATAATAGTAACTTTACAGAGGATAAACTGCAAATACCGCCTTAACACAGTGATCAAGGTAAACATCACCAACAATAAGACATCGGGACATCATGTACGTCCCTGATACTTTGCACTGAGAAGGGCCCATCACTTCTGTGATATTTCTGGAAAACATTCATAACATCTACTTAATTATGTAAAAATGTCAGACAACCCAAATTGGGGGACATTCTACAAAATGAGTGAGAAGTACTCTTCACAAGTATCAAAATCATGAACAAGGAAAGACTTAGAAATTGTCACAGAAAAAAAGAGACTAAGGAGACATGACAATAAATGCATTGTGCAATCCTGGATTAGATTCTGGAACAGAAAGAGGAAATTAGAGGAAATTGGTGAAATCAGAATAAAGACTGAAATTCGGTTATTGGTATTATATCAATGTTAATTTTCTGGATTTGATCATTATGCCTTGCTTATGTAAGATATTAAGATTAGGGGAAGCTGAATAAAAGGTATCTGGGAACTACTATTTTTGTAATTTTTCTAAGCCTAAAATTATTTCAAAATAAAAAGTTAAAAATAACTATTGTGAGGATGAAAGAGGATAAGGTGAAAGAGGTTAATGCAACATTTAGCACATGCTAAGTACTTAATAAATATTAATTTCTTTCTTCTAATAACAATCATTTTAATACTCTCCCCAACTGTCACATCCTGAGGTTGCCCTCCAAATCTCCAAAAAGGGCCTCAAGATTTGAGTAGTGAGAATTCAATTATGTTCTCTAATAAGGAAGGAGAAAAAGGAAAGGGGGGACGAGAGGTAGAAGAAAGCTCATACAATTTAACTATGAGCCATGTTTATAGTTCCAAAAGAGCTTATTAAATCTTAACTTCTCTAGGCAGTGGTATTACTGTGTCCTCATTTTACAGATGCTGAAACCAAGAGCCATGTATATAGCTCTCAAGTACTCATTAAATCTCAACTACTTTGGGCAGTAGATACTATTACTACAGATGAAGAAACTGAGTCACAGAGAGGTTAAGTAATTTCCTAAGGTCATAATGGTACTAAGTGGTGAAGCTAGGTTGAGCATTTACAAAGTGAGACTCCAGGGATTACAGTCCTAATCACCACTCCAAGCTATCCACAGATTATACTACTTCTATGAATTTAAGCAATGTGCTTTCTGTTATCACAAAACTATATAGCAGGTTCATCCCAAATCATTTTTCTGCCACATTCACAAATTATCACTGATCTTGTATTTAAGTTTGGTATTTCTTTCTTAGTTATTCTGGCTTGTATTTTACCCTAGTAAATTTCCTTTTTTATTGGTTTGCAAATAACTTTTCCTTTTCTTTTATTTTTTTATTGTTGAAACAGACATACCTATTCCTACCCTCCTTTTGTCTACTTCCACCCAGCCTCCATCTCCACTTCCCTCTGGCCATCACCACACTGTTGTCTGTGTCTATGGGTTATGCATATATGTTCTTTGGCTAATCTCTTCACCT